CTTTAAAAGTTTTTCATATTACAATGGATTTCCACAATCCCATCTCAGTGAATGTTTATGAATGGATTTAAGGTATTTAAACTACACAAAGAAATGGACCAAACGCTGAAAAGTCTCTCATAAAACTACTGTAATCTTCATTGGTTAGATTAAATGCACCGAATACGGGGCTTTCAAACCTTTACTGGAGCAAACCTATGATGACATATGAGAAGTTTAAATAGCATCATGGCATTAGGCCTATGTCAGACCTGACAAATATCTCTCGTTAATTATAGATTTGTTAGACTGAAAGCAAACCAGAGGATAAAAACTAAAACCAGCAATGTGTCAGACTCTTATTGAAGCTTTAAGAACGGGTCAAAAATGTGTATTATCTTAACACAGACAGGCACTACAGAATATTACAATCAAGAATGAGCCGATCGTTTTTCAAAAACATCTCCAGCTGTATCCGTAACCTTGTTCCATGGAAACTATTTTCCAATCATGTGACTTCAAATCAGATTACTTCATACAACTGTACAGCCAGTAAAAGCAAATCTGATTCATGTTATGGCCAATCAAAACTCCGCTCCAATCAAAGACCTGGTCAATCACTCGGCGTCCCTCCATCGCTACCTGAACGCACTCAGCTACATCAGAGGCACAAGCTGAAGCTGGATGGAGGCGTTGCTCTGGCGGTAATTGTGTTTAGCTGTTTAGATGTATGAGCGAATGGGACATATGGCCTGTTTGTATTTAGCCTTCACCCAGATGAATGGCTTTAATAACTGGAGGGGACTTAAAAGGCCATTTCATAATTACTGCCTACCTCTGCTGGATTACAGCGACGCAGCGGGGGTGGCAGGGTATGGATGAGGGCTGGCGAGCGCTGTGCAGAGCAGGACATGTGCCATTTGTAAACGCGCGGCCGGTAAAAGATGCTCGTGCAATGAGGGAGAACTGCAGGGTGCATAAATTCACACACACACAAGCACACACCTGCATGAAATGATATACTTGTGAAGATCTGTACTGACTGCCACACTAGCAGCAATCTCCAAGGATGAGAAATGAAGCAGATCATCAGCAACTGCAGTTCTTCCAATGGCCACCTGAGACTGACTCCAAGATGCCCAACTTTACAGGAGAAATAAGCGTGTTAACAGCCCGGAACAAAGAACAGTTTTGGTCTCTAGAGCTAATTTCCTCATTCATGACACCTTTTTTTTTTCAATTGCCCTAAGTTTAATTTAAATTTAAATCATGCATAATTATTCACGGCCGCTTGAGTGGCAGGTGGGTGCCGTCACAACGCATTCCTTGACTCGCTTCAGCTCCTCCTCTTCACAAATTTTTGGATTAGCAGTGAGTTAAGCCTTGATTAAACTCCCTTACGGCATTGTTGTAATACTTTCTGGTTGAGGAAAGTAGATCTACGTATTAGTGTTGCAGTTGAGGTCTTGTGAGGTTTCCTAAATTCAGTCCAGTCTGCCAAGAATTCTGTTCTGACAACTAAACTGCATTCTTAATTATGTATTTTTTGCCTGATTACATTTGTTTGCAGCGTATCACAAATCAACATATCTTATTTATTTATTTATCTATCGCTTTACTGATGCTTCTTGTCAGCCAACCAATCAAACATCAGATGAGGTGGGACCCTGGTAACCAAAAAAATGGAGGAGATGTTGTGAAAAGTGCATATTTTACCCCTATTTTCCTAAACCGTGTATTTGTGGAGCTTAAACTTAAAATAAAACAAGTGAAAAACAAAAGTGAACAAAACCTAAGACTAAGAATAATGGCCCCTACAGAACATGCACCACTGGTCTCCTGGATGAAAGTCAAATTGCTGCCAGCGTCCTCCCCTTCTATCACCTTACACAGAGGTTCCTTTAAACTCAGAGTCTTTCCTACAACATCACAGTCTTTCCTTTCAGGGAGAAAATACATTTCTTTCAAAACGAATGCAGTTTAACTGTATAGGAATGTAATATTTGGGAGACAGGGTTGCCTAAATTAGTGTGTTTTTTTTGTTGCTGGGATGAAACTCAGCCATGTAAAAACTACCTGAAGAATGTGACGCAGTCCTCATAGGACAATTAGACCAGATCCGAAATGCAGTCGACCTGAACAGACCCAAATAGAGAGGGAGCACTGGCAGCCTGATGCTACTCCACTTAATGAGCTGCCACAGTTAAAAAGAGCCCCTATTCACACAATTTTTCTAACACTTTGCAGTTCACACCTTGTTGCCAAGAGATCTAATACTTTGACCATGTAAATGCAGGGTCCCTGATTTGGGTCAGCCGAGGAATTCTTATTGGAGCTTTAAAATTGAAGCTCGACTGCTCCACAGAATGCATGAATGAAACAAGAAAAAAAAGCACATCTGGGTTTAACATGGTTTTAAATCTAAACTACACCAATAAGTAAAGCTTTCTATCATCACCTAATCCGTATCTTTACATGTCTAGCAATACAGGGAGCAGCACGTTGCACGTTTCAAATCGGTGCAACACGGTGGCTTTCAGCTTAAATCAACAACGTGTCGGATGCAAAGAGGCGAGAGATGGAGGGAAAACGGAAGAGAGGGAGATCAAGCGAGGTAAGGTGCGAGCAAGAGGCAGAGTTACGCAACGACCAAAACAAAGAGTGTGAAAACAAAGCCGAGGCTTCGGCGCTGGCAGGATGCTGACTGGTTTTAAATTAAATTGTGCGGCGAAGAAGCAACGGGGACTAATGGGCACACGGGGTGATGGCACCGGTGGCGTTGCTGCAGGGTTAGCTGTTAGCTAGTCAGCATTTAAAGTTCAGGCAAGACAACACACTTTCTTCAAGTGATCATTAGAAAACACACACATTTAGAGACGCGTTCAAAAGAGTGGAAAACACAGAAGTAAAGCAACAAGAAGCAACTGCAGCATGAGGCTGACTGGCAGAGTGTGTGCATATAGTGTGTTTGCGCTGGATAAGCTCCCAGGTGTGTTGTAAGAGGGCAGCCGGGGGAGATGTTCGACTCTAAGGGGGAGAAACGGAGGGATGAATGAAGGGATATCTGTCCATTACTTGTGTGGCTCTCCACAGAGTGTTCACATGCACACACACACATTTACTTTTACAAAATACACTGAGAGAAGCCGGGCTGGGTCTGACTGGGTACAAGAAACTCCAAGACTGGAGCATGTTCACCATAATCACATAAGGCTGGAACAGATACAGCAGCAGCTGAGCGGGGAGAAGGGAAAGAGAAAGAGAAAGAGAGAGAGAAAAGATTACAGAGAGAGAGTTACTAAAAAAGGATCAGCCTGTTGAGAGAAAGAGAATCAAAGTGCTCATAAAGAGGGAATTGGATGTTGGAGAGAAAGAGGAGAAAGAGAGAGATGAAGTTTTGGGATTGAGAGGATACTAAAAATGGAGATGGCGACAAAGAGCAGGAGAATAATCAAGAGCGGGAAAAGGACGAGATGAAAGTGAGGAGAGGAATAAAACTCAAAGCTCTATTTAAGATGGAGACCGGAGGATGGAGACAGAAGAGAAAAGAGAGAGCGGGACAGCTTGACTAAGTGACGGAGGGAAAGATGGAGCGAGGGGGGGAAAAGAGAGGGAGAGGAGGGAAGCGCACCTCGCAGCAGCTTCAGCCAGAGAGGAAAAAAAAAAAGGGTTTTAGCCAGATTAAAGAAGCCAGGCAGGCCTCTTAAGACCATCCGCCTAATGAAATATGTCAAAGCCCATAAAGAAACACTGAGGCCATTTAGGAAGGGGAGGGTGGGATGTGGTGCAGGAAGCTGGGCAAATACGCTGCATCAGCAAAAATGAAAAACACGCAAAAGCCCTGTCAATACGCATTAGCCAAGACGTCAACTGTGGAGGAGATGGGGGGGAAAAAAACAAGAAGAAAGGAATGCTGCAGCGAAGAAAGCTTTATTTATCGTGGGCCTTGAGGCTGCTTAGAAATGCCAGGAAAACCATAGCAGGACAGGAGGAGGAGGGGGGGTGTCAGGGAGAAGAAGAGGAGGAAGGCAGAGGTGAAGCCACTTGTGGGAATGCTGAGTGCGGGGGATTTGAGGTCAGCGATGGCATTTGTATTCCGCCGGCAACAGGCTTAGTTGGCTGTTGCAGGTGGATTTACGGAGGGGGGATCGCTGTAGGTGTGTGAGGCAGAGAGGAAGTGTAGAAACTAAAATGCTGGTCATGTTTCTTTACTTACAAGAGCCACGTTGTCATATTACAAGACAGTGGGTGTTCTGAGAGAGATATCTACACAGCTGAACTCCGCTATTAAAATCACGACTTCTGCAGCCCAGCCAGAAATGGTCAACTAAGCATGAAAAGTCTGTGAGCAGCATTTGATTTATATTCATACCGAAGCTACAGAGAACAACCGCGGAGTCTTCCAGCACTAGTGGAAATTCATTCTATCTGCTTCTATCACAAACTGTTCCTGTGCACACCAACTCGAACCTGTTTTTCTTTTTTTTGGGTAATCCTTGGTTGTGGTTTTGTCTGCAACCAGGATCAATGCTATATTTCAAATAAAATAAAGCTGCAACAGCAATCTCACTGGGTCGAACTGTGTGTCTGAACAGATTACAATGTACTTGGATTGGCAGTCTGAGCTGTGAAGTTCTATTTTACTTCTAAGCAGATTGTTCTTAAAGGAGAATTAGGCAACACCGAGGGCAAAGAAATAAGCGAAGTCGAAGCCGTTGTAATGTAATACGGCGGCTGTCAGCTGAGTGAGGATTGAACGCCGTGGGCCTGCTGACCTGGGCGGCCATAAAGCAGCGAGAGCTCAGACACTAAGTGCTTCACAACTCAACTTTGTCAGCTGGGGAAGCGAAGGAGGGAAGGAGGGGGGAAAAAATACAGTAAGGAAAAAATATTAGAGGATAATTATAATCCTCACACACAGGGTTGATTTGTTGTTCTGTGTGGATGAACTTGTCGATCTGTCACGCCAAACAAGACAACAAGAGGAGAGGAAGAGTTGCTTGTGTGTTCTGATTTCTCACCATTCCTCTGCTCGACCAGCGATCCCACGTTGCTCTCGTCAGCCACTGCAACACAAAAAAAGAAAAGAGCCACGATCACCACAGAAACACAGATCATTCCAGCGCTTTGTGCTGCTTCATAAATGCTGGCGCTGGAACCAAGCATGCTTTAAAATGACTCCCCGCGGAAGACGGAGGAGGACGAGCGAGGGACAAAATGACACGCCGACGAAAGAGGAAATGAAAAAGAAGCAGAAATATAAGAAAAACCAGAGGAAAGAAAGATATTGTGATTGTGGGAGAAAATGAGAACACGTCGAGATGAGACAATGAGAGAAATAATAAAGGGAGGAAGAAGAAAACAAAAGCCCCGCCGACACCCACCCCACCGCCTAATCTAACTAGGAATTGCGGTCGAGCGGCGGCGGCCACCACAGGCGGGGCACCGTGGGATACAATAATAGGTTTTCATTACGCTGCTATTTCTCTTAAATAATCCTTTTCATTTTTTATGAGGTCAATTTTCCCAGCGGACAGATGAGGGTGAAGGAGAGAGAAAATGAGGGTAAGAGAGAATATTGGAGAAACAGTGAAACAGAGAGAGAAAGAAGTGACAAAACAGAGGTAAGAAAAAAAAAAAACACAATCAGTGAAAGTAAAGCGGAAATCAAAAAAAAGGTTCGCTTCATAAAACCCTGCGGCGACACAACCAAGACAAAGACGCAGGAATACCTTTCTTGTGCACATGTGCCAGATAAAATAAATATTAAATACATTTTAAGTTTGGGGGGGACGAAAAAAAAACAGGACACGTGACCCTGGCAGATAATGAAAAGCTTCCTTTTCTGTGGAGGGAAGATAAAAGTCTGCATGGCAAGCAGCCAGATTTGTCTCTCCTGACATAGCAGAGGGCTAAAAATCTAAAAAATCCATCTTTTACTGACCTCCAGTCGCCTCCCTGAGAGTGTTTGGTATATATTTGCTCTGTTCCTGGATTACTGGAACATAACTACACAATGTACTGCAGGTTCCTGAAGGTAGCACGTATTAGGAAACAGGGTGTTGAAAGAATAGAGGGAGAAAGTCAGAAAAGAAATGTAACTGAAGGAGCAAAAGACAGAAGATGGGATGCTTCAAAGATGAGAACAGGAATCAGATAAAAGGTGCAAGTAGAAAAACAGGTAGAGAAGAAAAAGAGGGATCCACAGAAAGAACAGAGGGTGAAAGATGTAGAGCGATAATCACAAATAGTCAGTTTTTGAGGGAATCTTTTGAAATCTCTCCAAAAAAATGTAAAAAAGAAAAGAACATGTGATAGGTTTAGGGCTGTCAGCTGGTACTGGTCATGTTTCCTGCTGTCTGGAGTGACTTAAAGCGGACACAGCTGATCAGTCATGTGATTTAAATGTCATGTGGAAAAGGTGTTTCAATCTCCAATTAAGCCAGTTTCTTAAAATTCAGCTGTTTCTATTTACCTTTTCTCATACAGTACTTCAAAACACAACACAATCTAGAAACACACCTCTTTGCTATGCCGACTCTGTTGTCAAGAGTTTTGCGTAACAACCACATTTGACCTTTTGGCCTCTGGAAGGATTGGAGTTTTTGGACTCCTATGAGCGGTCTCTGTTTGCTCTTTAATGCATACCGACTGTTTTTCCTTTGCACATGAATACTGATGAGCCCATTGTTCCACAGCCTGGCATAATGCTGCTTTCTCTATGCCAGCTCTTACAAACACAACTTCTGTTAGCGTTTATGATAAAGCATTCAGAGAAAACACAACGATGCCAAAGTGTTTGATCAAAGAGAAATGAGGCTTTGCTGCGTTGCTCTCTATAATGTAATACTGTAAGATCTTGACCTGACTGTCTGACGTTACCCGAGATGACTTTGGCTGTGAATTTCCTCCATATAAATAAAACCGTATTGGATTTAGTGTATTTGTCGTGGTTAAAGCTGACTGTGCACAGACGCTGTGTGGAAAATTACTTTAACTGTGCGCAGGAAATCAGATTGTGGTTACACTTAGTCCTGACAGATTTCTATATTAAAAGAAAGTGACTTTGCAGATTTCTTCCTGACTCATAGTCGGCCTTTGGAGGGTGACTGTGCAAGACGGCAGGCAGTTATAGTGAAGACAATCAGAGAGAACTTTTATTTTTGACCTTTGATGAAGATAAATGTTTGTCATGCTTGAGTAAATGAAACCTCAATAAATAGAACTTGTTGAATAATCAAATTACTCTCAGTTCTGATCATTTGGGTGCTGGTGGTCCTCTGTTCAGGATAAACCTGATTTCTCTGTAAACACATCTTTAAGGACAAAACCGCTGTTAAGTCACTCAGTCGATTAGTCAAATGACCGCTTTTTTTTTTTTCTGTATTTAATCTGAGTCACTGCACACAAAATCACTCAGACTGCAAAGAGTGGTGGATAGTCTCCTAAGTCCTAAAAGGTCTGATGCTTCCATGCACTTTAAGCATCTTAAAGCCAATCCATACAGATATTTTCCAAAGCAGACCAGGGCTTTTTTTAATTTACTGATAAATGCATTAGTGAAAAGAACAGAGTAGCAGTGACTCACTGTGATGCGATTTGCTTGAAAAAGTTACGATCAAGTGTTTCTCTTTTTTATCTTTCACCTTCTAAAGTCGAGAGCTTCTTTCTGCCACGTTGAGGCATTCGTGGAACAAAACTGACTCGTGATTCTACGATCTATCCGTTACAAACCCACACCACTTCTCAGGAAATTCAGAGTTTGAAACAGCTATCGAGTCAGTGACTCCCCGATTCATGTGAGCAAAGGAAGGGAGGATTTCTTGTGTGTGAGTGAAAGCTCTGAGTCAACAGACTATTTGCTAAGGCATCCAGGGTCAATAAAAGCAGCTCACCTCTTTCTGTCAAGTGGTGTTTAATAAAAGCTAACCGGCTCTCTGGTGCTGCTGCAGCTCAGCTACATGTGACGTGTGGGGAAGCTCTCATGAGGGAGGAGGGAAAAAAAATGCATTTGTCTCTTTAAATACAACCCGTTGCAGATAGGGTCAGCATCTGAGGTCTTGTATGTGTTTAGAGCTGCTGCCATCTTTACACACACACACACACACAGGCAGAGCTTTGCTAACTACCTTATTTCAGCTCTGAGCACTCTGGAGAGGGAAGGGATGAATAGAACTGCAGTGATAACACAGAAAAAAAGAAAACAGATTGAAATGGAGGATGGCCAGAGATGGAGATAGAAGCCAGAGAGGGGAGACAGATAGTGGTGGGTATTGGAGTGGGTCCTCGGTGGGATAGAGCTGAGAGTGTGTGCGGCCGCGTGTGCAGACCACCCTTGTCCATAATGAAAGCCAATCAGCTTGGGTGGCAGAGGCGTGTGCTGCAGGAAGAAAGCCAATCCACTGAACCTAATGAACCGGGATTGGAAATCAGAGAGAGTCGGAGAAGAAAGAGAGATGGAGGGGAAGAGAGAGCGAGAGCAATGAACTCGCCGGCTTTCAGTTGAGAAACAAAGAGTTGAAAGGAAAAAAGAGAGATAAACACAGATGAAGGTGGATGCTGAAAAACAGGAATAAAAACAGAGAGAAGAGGGGGGGAATGAAGACAAATCCAGGAAAAAAAAAATGAACGGGGGTAGTAAAAAAAAAAGCTGGAGGAAAGTATCAAAAAGAAAGATGAAAAAAAAAATTGGAGGAAGAAGAAGAGAGGAGGGAAGTGAGGGTCAGCTCGGGTTAATACGAGGAAATCAGCCCTTTCGTTCTCGCCGTCCACACGCACACAGCACGCCGTGAGATTGGAAACCTCACGCATTTCAAACACAAAGAACACACATATACACAAACACACACACACCGGCCGGCGTGTTCATCCAGTTTGTTGGAAAGCCCCTGGGTTTATGGGTTCAGAGGGTCAAATCCCCTTAGGCCGGGGATAATAGGAGAGAGGTACATATCACAACAAAGAAATGCACTGATAAGAAGCATGTGATCACTGTTGTGCCCGCGTGTGTTTGCCGACTGGGTTCGTGATTAGACGGGGAGGGTTTTTGGCTGGTTTTGTGATGGTTGGGACAACAAAACGGCTTGTATGTGTTTCCCCTAAAAAATGTGTTCAATCGTAGGCTGATGGGGGGAAAACAAACGATTCTTTCACTGATGAAGAAGTGTGTGTGTACTCACCCAAGTCCATGCTCTTGGATGCCCTGTTGCGAGGCACGTTGTCCTTATCGCTGACGAGTTTGCTGTTTGCGTAGAAAGCCTCGGCCGCGTGGGGCAGCGAATGGAACTCGCTGCGGAACAACAGTCACAACTTCAATCAATCAGCGTTGACTCCCAGCACTGTGCAGCCGGCAGTGAGAAAGTCTTTTAATGACTGCTTGTTTGTTAGATCACCCACACGCAGAAGAGTAAACACGATTTGAAAGTCACAAACTCGCACAGACAACAGATCATTTAATTTCCTCCTATCCAGATGGCACGATTCAGTAAGACAATAGCATGTACTGTCTCCATTCAACTTACAGGGAAACAAGTATATTGATGCCAGATTCTGACTCTGGCATCAGTGAGACGCTGCAGATTTCCCGTTAGCGCAACGTTTCGTAACAGACTTTGAAAGTATTTTTCTTGAGCACACCTAAATTATCTCAATTACGACACCAACTGGGAGCGCGATGTGTTTTGGAGATTGTGTGTTGGTGTAAGACTGAGATGAAGATTCGTCAGAGCCAAGTCCCCACACTAAGCTAGACGACAAATTCAGGAGTTCTGAAGCGAATTTCTAGACCGATGTGGAGTCCTGATTCCATACTAGACCACATAGTAAAGAAGACTATCCCAC